ATAGTATGGTACTCATTTTGATACACAGAAGGCAACAAAAATGATTCTGAAATACGTTATCACTTGTAAATGGGATTTCGCCCCCCGCCTTGTAAGATTGCAATACTTTAGATTCCTATGTATGCTTAGGACTTTTAATCCCTTAAAACATATGGTAGAAATTACAAATATATACACATACATTTGTGTATATATATTAAAAACCACATCCAAAGGATTATATACCTCAAATGCAGACTAAGCCAAAAGCTCTGGGAAAGGTGCTTGCATCTGTTAAGCACAAGTTATAGATGCACACCTTTAAGAAGACATGCATGAACACGAATCCATGGCTTGGTATATAGAATGGCAGGAAGTAAATGTCTGGAGCAGCAATCTTGACTATATGTAACTGGCTATGTAATAGTGTTACACTTCACGCAGGTGGTGCCTGTTCCCTGCCCTATTAAGAATTGCTTAAATATAGCTGACTGGTCTAGTACTACAAAAAAAATTAAAATATGTATTTTAATTTGAATCTACCAATCAATTACAAATGCTTGCACATGTATAGAAATAGTCACATGAAGGCAAACAGCAAACCTGCTATTCATTCTGGGTGCCACTTGCCTCCTGTATGTTATGCATTGCAAAAAACTGAAAACAACTAACCAACCAAAACAAAAAATCCACCCCAGCCCCAAACCAGGAAAGGACACTAATCACAACAGGTCCTACTTGTTCCTTACAAACCAGGAAACTAAAGGTATCCATACATCCATTCCACCCTAGAGCCCTGATCTCTCACTACCATAAATAGCACTTAGCCCTTTCAAATTGCATGTGGGTGTTTATCTCTCCTTACAAGGAAGTGTTTTGTTACTTTCAAACATTTATAAAATTTATGTGTACTGCATGGCCTCTAGAGGAAAGAGCTGGACAAAAATGATTGTGAGTCTGCAACAGTTCCTAAAGCCCAAGCCATATAGACCTTGGGAAGGGCTGCATATTATGTGTGTGTGAAAGAATTAACTTAGCTTGTGTGTCTCAGGGGTCTTGAGTCCTAATCACACTTCAAAGCTGTAGTGGTGGTCTATATGCATGCTGTAATGCAAACGCAGCACAAAGATGAGGAGTAGATCAAAATGTTGCATTTTGAGTCTGTCTGAACAGACTCAACGTGCAACAACATGGCACTGAACAACATGACAGTGATGCTCTTTTGAACGGAGGGGTGTGGGTGTTGGTACTGGACTAGACGATCTGCAGTGGTACCTTCCACCCTCAACTATTCTGTCATTCCATGTGTCATTACCCATGCTGGTGAGGAGGCACGAGTACATTCTAAATTAACTGCCTGTACAGTCTAATGCTTGCACCAAAGTAAACGACATTCCTATAATTTCATCAAACTAAGGCACAGTGCTGAAGTGGTGACAATACCATTAGCCAGGAGGGGGTAACAGCCCCGTCTCCTCCAAAAAATCCATCATGTTGGGATAGAAAATCTTTCTTGCAGAAACTTATCTGTTGTAAAAGTCCAGAACGGGCCTTCAGTTGAGCTTAGCTTGATAGCAAGTGTTCAACTTGGTAACAATTCTTCCTTCATGGAAATAATTTCTGCCATCCATCTGTAGCAAGATTTTTCAGTATTCCTCTGAATACTGAATAATAGAACAACACCCATCTCACACAGCTGTAGATTCAAAGATTACCTTTTTTCTCATCCCTGCAATGGTTAGCCAACACCAAGAATGCAGGCTAAAAACAGCTTTAACATAACATGTGAAAGTAGGAACGGTTGTGCTTAAGGTAGACATGGCTACAACTTGTGCCCAAGACTACTTCCTAAGTTTTAACGAGCAGATGCATGCACATGCTGGAAAAGCAGAAGGGAAATAACATGGCTGTAAGGCTGGAGTGAATTACAGTAATAGCTGTCCATCCCAGTAGCCTTCCAGCAAACCTTGTCATCTGATACTGATCTTAAGTAGGAGAGGTTGCATAGACGTATAAATACCTTGCCCTTTATAAATGATGTACAAGAGCTCACATATCAATACCACCACTTGTCTTTTGTTTTGCTTTTAATTAGCAGTCTGAATGGTATGGATCTAAGACAATATTTTGAGAGAAACAATGGCTAGAAGCTAGTTCAGAGGATGCCAACTCATCACACTAAGAGGCATGTAACTCATGGAAATCTGATGAGACTGTTAAAAGCCCACAGAAACCACAGCCTTATACCGTGGATGTTTGTCCAGCTGTGCCAGCAATTTCACACTATTGTGTGATATTTTGTCTTTTGATACAGTAAATGTGATAAAGACATTCACAGAATTTGGTTCTTGTGGCTTGTGTCAAACAAAATTGGAACAGTATTACCGTGTTCTCTGCCTTCTACTTTTATTCTGCGCTGCTCTCATACAGAAAGTAGGTAGTAAACTATATATTAAATGACCTTAAAGCCTCAGCTACCCTCTCTAGGTGTCATGTAAACCAAACTACTTTGCCTGATCCCTCCCAACTTCTTTTGCTAGGTCTAATAATATCCCTAGGTCCCTGCAAGACATGCTGATTAATTACAGAAGCAAAAACTCAAGAAGTGGCAAACTTGTTAAGGCACTTACTGCATACATGAGGAATGAAGACAAGTAATTTTTCTCCAGGGTTCAGATCCTTCTTGTCCTATATGAGTAATAGTCTGTTAGGTCTGGTAGTTCCCATTGTGACCTGTGTAACAGCTCGCACCTGACCCATGAAGTCAAGCTATAGCATAAAATTCAGGTGGGAGGTGGAGAGGGAGGCAGTTGCTGGGCTTCCCTCTTCAAACTATACCACCATCCTGTTCTACATAAGTACCATGAAGCTAGTCAGATCTGGTTTTGTATAGCTTAAGCAGTCAATTAATCTGTACTCCTTACAGTCCTTTTGCTGCTTGCTTGTTAGTATTTGCTAGATGTTGTCAATGCTGTGATTACAGGTGGAGCTTCAAAGGTTCTCACACACACACACTCTCTTGCTTTATGGCAATACTTTACAGCAACTGCTGTGGTTCCTGTTAAGGCAAGTAACTCTTGCTTTATGGCCCCTCCTTCTATAATCATCTTGGTTATGATGCAAATGACACATCTGTATGCATCCTGACTACCATCATAGCCAGCAGTCAAGCTTTCTGCCAAGCCTTTCTCATTCTTCTTGATCTCCCCAGAGCTCCATCTCTAAGGCTTGTCTTTCAGGATACCTAAATGTGTTTGTTCAGGTTCTTCAAAACAAGTTTTAAAATCTCCATATATTGCTTCAACTGCTATCGGAACGATGGTTTAGTCGTGTTAAATCATGCCAGAATAGCACAGGTGAACATTGCAATATATTTAAAATCTGATATCCTAACAGTGCAAAGTAAAGTTTCCAGTTAAAATTACATTTTAACTAAAGCCCCAATTTTGCTAGAGTCTTCAAAAAACACTCACATAGCAGAAATTAAATACTGCATCGAGAAATCAAGTTTATGGAAAAAGGTGATACTTTTGCTTTCCAAAAACATCTAAGTGCTCCCTAAAGTGGATTCAGAAAGTCCACAGAAGTGTTTACAACTTCTGGGAGAATAAGCACCATGTGATACTTTCAGATTGACTTTTTTAAACCTTAGATACCCAGACAAATAGGACAGGGTAAATTAACACAGTCTCTGGAACTACCATTCTCAAAAAAAATTACAAGCTCTTGCAAAGACTTTGAGCTGGCACTTCCTTTTAGATGCTTATTAAGGTTCACCCCACAAATCTAAGGGTGTAAAGATACTAAAATAATAGCAGCCACTGGTAAATACTGCTTCTACTCCTAGATTAATTACTGTTGAAAATATTGCTCCTTTTCTTGATCAGCCATTCCAGTTGAGAGTAAGAAGTGATCCTTTCAGATAAGGCCTTGCATATTTTCTTGGGTGGAGCAACTAAGCCATTACAATAAACTGGGCAAAAAATACTTTGCAAAAACACTTTTACATTCAGACAAACCGAAGCAAAAGTAACACATCTCCAGATGGTCGTGCCTGGACAGAAAGTGACATCATGACACATGAATGGTATTACAAAATAAAATCAAGGATACTGAAGTATTTCTACATACTAAGACATACTTGCTAATAAATCTAAAATCTTCATACATAAAAAGCCTGGAAGCATCACACTTTCATGAAACAAAATAAACAAACAGAAAAATCCAAACAAAACAAAACCCTTTCAAAATACTGTCCAAAGTTGATTTTTGGCATAGAGGAAAGGTTTAAAAAAACAAGTAAGTTTTAAACACAAAACCCTGTCTTTTAACATAACAAAAGATGTGAGATAACTATTGCATCATAGAAAAGTGGATTCTTAGCAGTGAAATTTCATTCTGGATCCAGTTAGAAAAATATGATTATCTAGAATAATGACTTCTACTGTTGGTGCAAGAGCAGACAACAGCTAATGCTGATGCCTGCATTGGAATCTTTGTGTAGTCAGAAAGAAAATCAGAGGTTGGCTCTTCTGCCTGTATGGGATAATCTGTAGGTGCACTACAGTAACAGTTTTCCAGTAGATAGAGAAATACGGTTGGGTTTTTTGTTTGTGGGTTTTTGTGAGGTTTTTTTTTTTTTAACTTCCAATTCTTAGGGAATATTTTGAAAGTTCATGTTTTCTATAAAAAGTCTACCTGATCAAGGATTCTTAATGCCGAAACAGTTTTCAAGCTTCTTTAAAAAATGAGTATAGACAGGCCAGAGCAAAGAAAGCAGCATCTTCATATCTTACCTCATCTTTATAGAACATCCTTGATTCTTCAGCAAACATATCACAGCTGCATCATTTCAAGGACAGACTGCACTGTTTGGAAAGACCTGGTCTGCAAGTCTTTTTTTTTGTTGTTTTGTTTTGTTTGGTTTTTTGAAGACTGAAAAACCAAAAGGAGTGATTTATGTTTGTTATAGAATTCCTCCTCCTACACGACATACACTGTTGTAAAACAATTCATGATAGTAATAACAGCAATTAACTTAGCTTAATATCATTCAGGTACTTCAAATTATAAGAAGCTCAGAACAAGTAATACTTCTTATTTACTTCAGTTTCAACCTAAATCTCTCATTCATTACCTACTGTTAGAATGCCACAAAAAGTAATGGTTCATTAACTGAGAAAAGAAAACATACCTATGTCAAAGATATAAGCATCACCAAATCAGGCTGAGCTAGCCAGAACAACATGGGTTCTATAAAGATTAACCACCAACACTTCCAGCCACATTTTACACTAGAAGCAGTGCTTGTGACATTCCCACAGAGCTCACAGAGTTGTAAGAAAATGTGAAGTAAGGAAGAAAGGTTTTAAGACTGTCTTTACTTCAAGTCAATGATGTCTTCATCATATAAAGAAATGAGCTGAAATGGATAGCTAGATGGTGAGCTCTCCTCCCTGTTTGCTAAAGTATCGGGATCTGAACTAGTAGAAAGATGACGTCCTTCAGAATAGCTTTCAAAAGAGCTTGAGATTAACCTGAAAAGAGGAAGACAAAAGTTACTAAAAAAATACACAGATCAGGGCAAGTAGGATCAATGGCTATTTCTAGATTCAGTCAAGTTATCCTAAAGACAGACACAGACCACTAAAACTAAGTTTCTCCCTGTTTTACTCTGCTGAGAATCCTCAAAAGGCAATGTTAATGAAGCCTGCTGCCTAATTAATTTCCAAATAGTGAAATACATCAAATATGGTTTTACATTGCAGCAGATTTTTTGTTTGTTTTGTTAATCTCAGTCTACTGTATGTTGGCTGAATTCTGCCACTACTCTACACAAACATAGGTTGTGAAAACAAGAGAATGGCAGTGGGGACAGGTAAGCAGAGCCAAACAGACAAATGCTATGGTGTTTCTTTGCAAAACGTATTCTGGAAATAGCAACACAAGAGCATATGAAAAAACCAGCAAGCGAGCCTGCACAGTGCAAATCTAGTCGTCCAAATCCTAACAACAGGCTCAACTGCAGCAGGTCCCTATAAAATCCCATTTAGTCTTGCTTTGCTCATTAACCCGTCTTTAACAAAAAGTATAATAATTTCAGTACTTCTAGCATTCAGATACTCCAATAAACACATTAGCATGAAATTCAGATTGGTATACAAATGTCTCAGTCAGACCCATGCCAACTGAGATAAGCATGAACAGGTTGAAAAACAATCAATTCTGAAAACATTTACAGTCTAACTTAGTTTCTTTTCTAAAGCCAGTATATTTACCTGTCACTACTAGTTGATCTTATTGCTCCCTGCTTGGGATCTGACTGTCTTCGAGGAACCTTTTTTTGCTTCTGCGCACTTTCTGTCTTGGGTATAGGCTCATCCAAGAGGCCTCAATAAAGGAATAAAAGACTTAATACTCTCAACAGAAAATAAAGCATTCATGGAAATGTTAAGGTACCTGTTGCTGGTTTCCATTATTAAGTAAATAGTTTCTACCTGGCTTAGAATATGGTCACCTTAATTATGATCAGACACTGGCTAGACTATTTGTAAATAATGTTTTCTCACAGTTTCATTTGTTTGTTTATACTCCTATTTATGAATACTGGTTGCATGTTACAAATCTGATTGTGATGGTCCAAACATTAGAAATTACATACTTGGCAATCAATATACGCACTGAAGAATGAGGAGAGTTTACCCAGCAATTCTTTACGTGTTCTGCTTGCAATTTCTTTAATTTCCATACGAGATAAGGATAGTGAGTGAGTAACTGGAAGAGAGGCAATGCCACTGGATGCTGTGGTAGTGATGACCTTGGGAGCCAAAGGTGACTTCAGAGGTCGTTCAATGCTTCGCCCAACGAGATTACTGAGAGGAATTTTGTACAGGTTTTTGCATGGAGCTTCAACTGAAACACAGAAAGAAAAAGAATGTTATACTTTCACCATAGAGTAAGTTCTTCATACTTCCAAATGAAAAGTTATACTCATTGTGCTGGGTGCTTTTTAACTGAAATAACAAAGATCCTCCTTGCCCCAGAGATCTTTCAATATAAATAGGCTAGGAGGAGGAAGAAATACAACCACATTGTGCAGACCTGCAATTTGACTTAGAGAGAAAAAGAAGATTGACTCTTTGAGATGTTATGAATCAGCAGTGGAACCAGAAAGTAAATTTACATGTCCTGAGGCTGGTATTCTGACTATCACACCATGACTCTGCACTCTGTGCAATATTCTCCATGTATTTTAATATGTTGTAAGTATATTGGAGCCTGGATCCCAAGTAGTTTAAATTATGGCTCCTCTTCTTAGGTGACATAAAATACCATGTGTTTTCCTAATTCCTAGAAAAAACCTAAACAATTTACCATCAAATAGCACTGCCTTTTAAAAACTGAAATTGTGATTCCTTTCTCCTTTCTCCTTCTGCCAACAGTACAGCAGCAGATTCAAGTGAGGAAGATATACATACGTCTTGCATTGTGTAGTTGATATTCCCTTGTTTCTCCATTATTGTTCCTGTATAAACTGATTGTTTGCAGATCATGATATACTAAATGGACTGTGCAAACTCTTTCTAGGCTAGAACTTCTTACTTTTGGTTTGCAACAGAGCTTTAACCATCCAATGGCTGTTTAGCTTTTCTTAAATGAAAGGAATGGTGTCTGTGAAATCTCAAGTTTTCCAGCAATTTTCTACCTCTTTTTGCATTATTAGTCTTGGCCATGTTGCCAAAGATTCATCAAGCTACTGAAGCTTAATTCCTCTCCTCCTACAGAAATTTCAAAGATTTCTTCAAAACAGTGCTACCATGCATTCAGAAGAGATACTGTGAGGCACAAGCTCAGCCAGGTGCTCCATATCTGTGGATAAACACCTGAAGTACTGTGTTCAGCTCTGGAGCCCTCAGCACAGGAAAGACATGGACCTGTTGGAGCAGGTCCAGAGGAGGCCACAAAAACAATTGGAGGGATGGAACACCTCTCATGAAGAAAAGCTGAAAGAGTTGTGGTTATTCAGCCTGGAGAAGAAAAGGCTCCAGGGAGACCTTATTGCAGCCTTTCCGTACTTAAAGGGGGCTTATAAGAAAGATGGGGACAGACTTTTTAGCAGGGCCTGTTGTGACAGGACAAGGGGTAATAGTTTTGAACTAAAAGTTCAAATCAAAAGGATTTGAACCAGATACATGGAAGAAGTTTTTTTATGATGAGGGTGGTGAAACACTGGAACAGGTTGCCTGGAGAGGTGGTACATGCCACATCCCTGGAGACATTCAAGGTCAGGTTTGACAGGGCTCTGAGCAACCTGATCTAGTTGACGATGTCCCTGCTCACTGCAGGGACTAGATGACCTTTAAGTGTCCCTTCTAACCCAAACTATTCTATGACAAATAGAAAACCTCTGTCTTCCAGACTCTTGGCTAGGAACTCAAACATCTTTTACCTGATCAATTTCGTCTCACTAAAGATCAGCTGTAGTGAGATGTGATAGCTGTTGGAATGATCAGAAATTGTTATTCAAGCTGCCTGGAAGATGTCTTACCTTCTAGAGAAGAAAGAGGACATTCTGGCATTTCATAAGCTGTTGGTGTTTGCGGAGAACTCCTTGAACTCATTTCCTTAGAGCTGCTGTCAGATGATCCACTTACTGCAGCAGTGGCTTTAAAATAAATATCTGACTGAAATGACAAGTAACTCATCATTAGTATAGCAAGACTTTCTTAACCATCTTCTGAGTAAGAGCTCAAATGCTTGTCCACTATGTTCTATTGCCACTATTGCTGTATCATTGCTAAGTCAACTAAGGTTGATCATGGAAAGGTTATCCCACTATAAGTGGAGGGAACATCTGTGATGTTGAAGATAGCTTTTCCCCGTAAACAGTCAAATATCTCTGATCCGCATTACTGTGGGCAATAAAGGACAGCAAGATCAATTCTGATTCTCTTTGTACTATATATAAACTAAGAGCACACAGGTGAACAGATCAAGTAGCACGTGTTTCAGTTTTGGTTTGTCTGGTTTTTGGCTGCAGCAACTTTTTATGCAATTTAGATCCCAACATATCACAGAAATAGTCAAACATGATTTTCCTGTGTCTTACCCTTGATGCTACAAGTTGAAGCTCAGGCACAACTGCTGTGTGGACTAAGTTCCCATTCACCACTAATCGGATCTCAATGGAGTCAGTAGTGAAGGCAAGGATATAAGGGAAAGCACAGACTGCAATGAAACAAAAATTATTTGGCAAGGAAAAATGGTTGATGTAAATATTTCTTGGATACTCCATGAAAACTGTTCTTGAGTATCTGACCTCTTCTGGCATCCCCCTTTCCTATGAAAAGGGTTGTCTAACATACTGATGGACATTGAGCTACATGAAGCCTGAAGAAAACTTCACTCTCCATGCCTGGCAGAACATAGACTGAATGGAAAATGAGAAACAGAAAAAAAGAAACAAAAGTTCAGCAAAGGAAGAACTTGTCATCAAGGGTCCACTTTTAAAAATTATCATATGCAGAAACTTAGCTAAAGTGGTACCATGAATGTAACGTGCTTATTCCTAGCACACATACTGTAATTCTACTAATAGCCAAGTGCAAGCCTAAATGGTAATTAAAAAAACCTGCCATCTAGTAAAAAAGATTTATTTTCTTACCAACAGCATAAGGAACTTGATTCCAGCTGAAGTGGAAGTCATAAGCTGATGGCTGGATCAGTGGAGAACCTCCATTGAAAGGATATACCTTTCTGTATTGGCAAACATCTGTAATAACAAAAAAAGCAGCATCCATCACCTTACACTACAAGTGACAAACACCAACTTTATACGCAGATTTTGCAGAAGTGTGGGCATTACATATATAATAAAACATTATGTAGAAGTCCCTCTATCTAAACAGATAAAGGAGATGTGCTTCCTCTGCAAACACAGCATTTGAAAGATCAAAGGAAAGATCTACATTTTAATAAGTTGTCATATTTCACAAAGTAAGTATTACTCTGTTGCAACAGTTATCAGTTCCTTACCTTGTCTACAGATAGAGGAATAATCAAGAAAAAAAAATTAGAAAGCAGTGTCAGCAGAACTGTATCTCTCTGTCCGAAAGAACTGCCCTTCAAGCAGCCATATGCTAGCACAGTTTACGTTCTTTGAAGGTTGTTATACACACGGGATATTATAGATGCCAAGACTTTGTTAAGCATATAACTTGTGAACCTACTTCTTAGCTGCTCTAAGTCCACTGATTCTGAAATTAACAGTCTTTCTATGAGTCAGACATGAATGCTGGCTTATAATTTCATAGATCTGGATAATGGGGCACTTAACCTTCCAGTGCCAACAGATTTTTCTTTAAACACATGCACTAGTGCTGATCAAACATCTATTAAAGTTCAGGACTTGAGAAGTTATATCAGCAAACAATAAGAAATCTGAAAGATGAGATGCAATTTCAATCATCTTTTTTTCTTCACAAGCTCATATGAATGTACCGGGGGCTCCAGGTAAACATCTACGACTGTCTCAAATATGCGCTGCTTCCAACTCTTTTATATTTTTTTTCCCTGTAATTGAGGTCCTTAGACTGAATCAAAGTTTACAGACAGAAATGTATTACAGGTGTTTTTCTAAATACAAACTTAGGACACTGCCAAATCCTGTGTATTCATATTTGTTCTATGATGATACTTTCAGAATTATAAAACTCTCTAAAGAACAAACGTAAATTTCCCTGTGATACTGTCCTAGAAATAGGAATTCAAATCACTGCAAGCCCATGCAGCACCTTTATTTCAACTTTAAGATCAGCTAATTTTGTTAGCTTTGGCTCAGCAATGGGTCTATTAGAAGGGAACTGATTCCATGCAGAAATATAGGTGGAAATTCATTATGCTCTGTCAGGTAGCTTTTTGGTTCTGAAGCAGTGCTAAGTGAATCAGAACCAGGTAGGATCTGGCAAGCTACCAGAACCAATAAGACTTCATAAGAGACACTTAAAACTTGCTCTGTGGTACTAATCTGATAGCCAGTGCTAGAACATAGGTGTATTTATCCTGTCTCCATCAAGCTCACTTTGGAGAGGCAAACAGGACACTCCTTCTGCAACAGAGAAAGCTGTGCCTTGTCCTTCAGCATTGCCTCATAAAGGCTGCTTCATGCTAAAAGCTTTTATTTTCATGAGGATCGGCAGA